CAGAGCAAGAGAAAAGCTTAATGGGGTGGAAATTACACTTTAATGACTTACACCTTCCTTCTGACTTTGAATACTTGTCTGGGTTTTATTTTTTAAACACAAAGGATGCGTCTGTCTGTCTGAGACTATAGCACCTTTTGTTCCTGCAGTCTGACTTCATAAAATGTTTTCAGAAATTCTTTTAACTACACAGCATTCCAATGTTTAAAACATTAATATGTCAAATTAAACGTTTTAATCAAACATTAAAAATAAAAAGTATTTTCACTATGAACATAAACACACTGTGGTGTGCGATACCTTGAGCCAGTTGTGGGAGCGTTTGGCAATCTCATAAGTTGCATGTTTTTCCAGTGTCTTCACCATTAGGCCCTCACAAGAATCTGCAAAACATTACAAACTCCTTAAATAGAGATTAATTAGAAAATTCAGAATATTACTAATACTGATTATTGAGTAACACCTCACAGTGAGCAATTTAACTCTAAATATCAGTCAATTGTCAACTGGTTTTGGACCCACATTTTTAAATGGCAAACCAATACAATACAGTAATAGTTTATTATATAAAAGTCCAAACACAATAGAGCCACAGCTGTAGATCTGTCATTCACACACCTCGTACAGACTGCTCCAGGAACTCAGCAATGCTCTCTGTGTTGTCAGAGTCCAGAGATCGAGCAAAAACAAACTCTCCTTCTTTCTCCTCAAAACTCTCTCGTAACAGAGCCCTGCGTTTGCTTAGAGGCTCTCGCACCAGAGACTGTGACAGACAGACACATAATTCACTAAAATAGCACATGTAAAAAGGAAGATTTCCGAGACATGCAAAATTATTCAAACGTGATTGGCTATGAGCTGTTATCATGGTCTTACCTCTCCGTTGAGGTACAGCAGATCAAAGGCATACACACACACCTGAACCTTGATCTCAGATGCATCCACATCCTGAAATACACACACAAACTCATGTAAACTTTTAAAGTGGCATATCATGAAAATCTGACTTTTTCTATGTTTAAGCGCTATAATCCTGTAACGTGAAACGTGAAAACCAGAAAACGTGAAAAAGCTGTCAGACTAAGCTGAGCTTCTCTAACACTGAACAATAGGAATGCAATGATATTACCACTGACTCTCTCACATACTATCATAGCCATGCAGCCTTTTTATTTACCCATTACAATAGTCCCTTTACAGTTACTGCTATCATAAGAATACACCTACAGTATATGTAGGTTTAAAATTCTACAAAAGGCACATTTAATGTCCAACAACGAATATTTTAGCAAAATGCATATTTGACTCAGAATGATTGCGCTCCATCTGTTTAGCGTGCATGTGCACAGCAGCGCTCGTTCACTCGTGTATGCCTCGCCCACTCCTGACAGCAAGCAAAATGGATATATTTG